ATCAACCTTCAAGCTATTGGGGTACCCTCGTTTATGGAAATCCCCATTTCGAATGGGATAAATCTGCTGTGGGGCATTATCAATTATCAACCTTCAAGCTATTGGGGTACCCTCGTTTATGGAAATCCCCATTTCGAATGGGATAAATCTGCTGTGGGGCATTATCTATTATCATCCTTCAAGCTATTGGGGTACCCTCGTTTATGGAAATCCCCATTTCGAATGGGATAAATCTGCTGTGGGGCATTATCAATTATCAACCTTCAAGCTATTGGGGTACCCTCGTTTATGGAAATCCCATTTCGAATGGGATAAATCTGCTGTGGGGCATTATCAATTATCAACCTTCAAGCTATAGGGGTACCCTCGTTTATGGAAATCCCATTTCGAATGGGATAAATCTGCTGTGGGGCATTATCAATTATCAACCTTCAAGCTATTGGGGTACCCTCGTTGAGGGAAGCCCATTTCGAAATGGGATAAATCTGCTGGGGGGCATTATCATTAAAGCAAAACTTCCGCTATTGGGTACCCTCGTTTATGGGAAATCCCTTTCGAAGGGAAAATCTGCTGTGGGGTCATTTCATTATCAACCTTCAAGCTCTTGTGGTACCCTCGTTTTAATAGGAAAGGCCCAGTGTTCCGAATGGATAATCTGCTGTGGGGCATTATCAATTATCAACCTTCAAGCTATTGGGGTACCCTCGTTTATGGAAATCCCATTTCGAATGGGATAAATCTGCTGTGGGGCATTATCAACTATCAACCTTCAAGCTATAGGGGCACCCTCGTTTATGGAAATCCCCATTTCGAATGGGATAAATCTGCTGTGGGGCATTATCTATTATCAACCTTCAAGCTATTGGGGTACCCTCGTTTATGGAAATCCCCATTTCGAATGGGATAAATCTGCTGTGGGGCATTATCAATTATCAACCTTCAAGCTATTGGGGTACCCTTGTTTATGGAAATCCCCATTTCGAATGGGATAAATCTGCTGTGGGGCATTAGCAATTATCAACTTTCAAGCTATTGGGGTACCCTCGTTTATGGAAATCCCCATTTCGAATAGGATAAATCTGCTGTGGGGCATTATCAATTATCAACCTTCAAGCTATTGGGGTACCCTCGTTTATGGAAATCCCCATTTCGAATGGGATAAATCTGCTGTGGTGCATTATCAATTATCAACCTTCAAGCTATTGGGGTACCCTTGTTTATGGAAATCCCCATTTCGAATGGGATAAATCTGCTGTGGGGCATTATCAATTATCAACCTTCAAGCTATTGGGGTACCCTCGTTTATGGAAATCCCCATTTCGAATGGGATAAATCTGCTGTGGGGCATTATCAATTATCAACCTTCAAGCTATTGGGGTACCCTCGTTTATGGAAATCCCCATTTCGAATGGGATAAATCTGCTGTGGGGCATTGTCAATTATCAACCTTCAAGCTATTGGGGTACCCTCGTTTATGGAAATCCCCATTTCGAATGGGATAAATCTGCTGTGGGGCATTATCAATTATCAACCTTCAAGCTATTGGGGTACCCTTGTTTATGGAAATCCCCATTTCGAATGGGATAAATCTGCTGTGGGGCATTAGCAATTATCAACTTTCAAGCTATTGGGGTACCCTCGTTTATGGAAATCCCCATTTCGAATAGGATAAATCTGCTGTGGGGCATTATCAATTATCAACCTTCAAGCTATTGGGGTACCCTTGTTTATGGAAATCCCCATTTCGAATGGGA